GAGTGGTAAATTGAGGAAAAAAGTTCTGATGTTATGTTAAGATCCTGCAACTTGGTAGTAAGTGTTATGCCCGATGTCCGAATCCCTGAGTGGGAAGAGAGAAGGCTTCCAAGACAATGCAACTCACAAAAAAAGGGAAGTTTATTGCTGACTCGAGTCAGGGCTCCCGCCGCGCGTCCAACGCAGTGGTACAGGGTCAGAGAGCGCTGAGCTCAAGCTGTTACCCAATTTATAAGGTGTGCATAAGCAGTTGGTATCTGGCTTAAGCCGATTGGTTACATGTTTGCAAAGTAATCTTATTGGCCCAAACCTTTGCGGGCTTTTTTCAAACTTGGGCATACGTGGGCTTTTCAGCTTTCCCCTGGTAGGTTCCCTTTTTCTTGCTAGGTGCGTGTTGATTGGCTGGCTCCAGGTTACCTGATGGGGGTGGGGAATCCCACCATTTCAGGGGAAACTGAAACCCAGGTCCGGGCCGCCTGCCAGCCCCAGCAGCCCCACAGTAAGAAGCAAGAGTATGTGGAATTTCCTCCTGAGATGAAAAGGGACCCAGACCCTTCCCAGGACATTCACTCTTCTCCTTTTCCTGTTCTTTTAGTATTAACAAGTCCCCAGAGATGAGGACAACATGGACCAAGCGGCTAATGATGAGCTTTGGGCATTGAGCTCTAAGGTCATTGTAAATAATTGGCTAGTGCCTCCAAGATCATTACTTTGCCTGTTCTAATATTGTGAATCCACACCTATGTCTCCATCCTTTGTAGGAACTTGTATCAGAATGTCCAGCCTGAGTCTGTCTTCCTGCCCATCCTGAGGAGGGACTCTGAGACTTCATCACACACCAGGCAGGAGAGAGGCAGTGAGTCTGTGCTTCTTGGTCATGCTCCAGCAGAGATACAGCCATCCCAGTAAGTGCTGAGGGAGACAGGGATGGTGAAGGGGTGATGGGAGCAATCTACATGGGTTTGGAATAGAATGTTTTGAAGTTCATATTCTTAGTTTTGGTTGAGATGTGAAAACTCTCATTCAGAGTTCTGGTTTCACCCTCACTGGCTTGGCTCTGGCTGGCATCCCTCCCACTAGAGAAGCAAATGCACTTCTGTAAACTTTCCCCTTGTTCAGTTGCGGTTCAGTCGCTCAGTCATGTCCAACTCTTTCCAACCCCATGGACTGCAACACACCAGGCTTCTGAAAGGTTGTTGCTGACCCATAAAAAGAGGCCGGGATTCTTGGCCTCTGGAGGAGAAATATCAATCTGGGGCCAGAGACGCGGCTTGATCGCTCAGAGTTTTTGTGTAATAAAGTTTTATTAAAGTATAAAGGAGATAGAGAAGGCTTCTGACATAGGCATCAGAAGCGGGCAGAAAGAGTACCCGCTTGCTAGTGTTAGCAATGGAGTTATACACTCTCCAATTAGTTATTACAGTGAATCAAAAGAATGTCTGGAGGTTGTAAAGACCTCACTAGACCTACTCCCATAATTTACATATTGAGATAATAGGATTAGCCAGAAGGTTTTTTCCAGAGACTGTCCTCAAGCAGGATAGATTATTGTTATATAATCCTAAGGAATGTAGAGGAACAAAAAAGTTTGTCCTTTCTTCCTCCTTGAGAATTCCAGACCCCTCTTTCCTTGGGGACCCCTAGACTTCTTATCAACCTGCCTAGGAAATGACTCTCTCATTTCCCTGTCCTTCACCATCTCCCGGAGTTTGCTCAAACTCATGTCGGTTGAGTCGATGATGCCATACAAACATCTCATCCTCTGTCCCCCTTCCTTCCAGCAGTTCAGTTCATTATGGGATCATGATGAGGATGAGAACACACATGATGAGTATGACATGAACCATACCATCCTGTCCTGTTATTGAAGGTCTCCTAAGTGTCGGGCTCTGAAGTATAAATTTTGTATTTTCTGCTTGATTACATGTGCATAATTTATCCCCAATTATATGTACATAACATTACTATTATTTTAATGAGAGGAAAGAAATGAAGCATTTTATGTAACATGTGCCAGTTCTTGGGGCTTCCCTGGTGGCTCAAGTGGTAAAGGATCTGCCTGCCAACGCAGGAGACTCAAGTTCTATCCCTGGGTCATCAAGATCCCCTGCAGAAGGAAATGGCAACCCACCCCAGTGTTCTTGCCTGGGAAATCCCATGGACAGAGGAGCCTGGCGGGCTACAGTCCTTGGTGTCATAAAGAGTCAGACACAACTCTGGGACTAAACAACAGCAACCAGATCATGAATTAAAGAATGATAAAATCATGTTTGAAGTCAGTCATTTTAGACAGACTGATTCCAGATGCAAGGTATGTGGGCAATGCCTCTACCACCCCAAACCATCATGTCACTTCCCTATCAGTCCTGGCAGAGACTCCCTGATCTCTGCTCACTGTTATGGGAACACTTGGACTTTGTTGGTGGGAATGAATATTGGTACAGCCATTACAGAAAACAGAATGGAGGTTCCTTAAAAAAATTAAAAGCTTTATTTTTATTAGTTGGAGACTGATTACTTTACAACATTGCAGTGGTTTTTGTCATACATTGAAATGAATTAGCCATGGATTTACATGTATTCCTCATCCCGGTCCCCCCTCCCACCTCCCTCTCCACCCCATCCCTCTGGGTCTTCCCAGTGCACCAGGCCCGAGCACTTGTCTCACGCACCCAACCTGGGCTGGTGATCTGTTTCACCCTAGATATACATGTTTCGATGCTGTTCTCTTTAAACATCCCACCCTCGCCTTCTCCCACAGAGTCCACAAGTCTGTTCTATACATCTGAGTCTCTTTTTCTGTTTTGCATATAGGGTTATCGTTACCATCTTTCTAAATTCCATATATATGTGTTAGTATACTGTAATGGTCTTTATCTTTCTGGCTTACTTCACTCTGTTTAATGGGCTCCAGTTTCATCCATCTCATTAGAACTGATTCAAATGAATTCTTTTTAATGGCTGAGTAATATTCCATTGTGTATATGTACCACAGCTTCCTCATCCATTTGTCTGCTGATGGGCATCTAGGTTGCTTCCATGTCCTGGCTATTATAAACAGTGCTGCGATGAACATTGGGGTGCATGTGTCTCTTTCAGATCTGGTTTCCTCAGTGTATATGCCTAGAAGTGGTATAGCTGGGTCATATGGCAGTTCTATTTTCAGCTTTTTAAGGAATCTCCACACTGTTTTCCATAGCAGCTGTACTAATTTGCATTCCCACCAACAGTGTAAGAGGGTTCCCTTTTCTCCACACTCTCCCCAGCATTTATTGCTTGTAGACTTTTGGATAGCAGCCATCCTGACTGGCGTGTAATGGTATCTCATTGTGGTTTTGATTTGCATTTCTCTGATAATGAGTGATGTTGAGCATCTTTTCATGTGTATTTTTGCCATCCGTATGTCTTCCTTGGAGAAATGTCTGTTTAGTTCTTTGGCCCATTTTTTGATTGGGTCATTTATTTTTCTGGAATTGAGCTGCAGGAGTTGCTTGTATATTTTTGAGATTAATCCTTTGTCTGTTGCTTCATTTGCTATTATTTTCTCCCAATCTGAGGGCTGTCTTTTCACCTTGCTTATAGTTTCCTTTGTTGTGCAAAAGCTTTTAAGTTTCATTAGGTCCCGTTTGTTTATTTTTGCTTTTGTTTCTAAAATTCTGGGATGTGGGTCATAGAGGATCCTGCTGTTATTTATGTCGGAGAGTGTTTTGCCTATGTTCTCCTCTAGGAGTTTAAAAAAAAAAAATTAAAAGCTGCAACTAATTGAATAGAACTACCATAGAATCTAGCAACCCACTTCAGGGTAGGGGCAAAAGAACTGAACTCAGAACTTCTAAGAGATATTTGCATTCCCTTGTCATTGTCATATTATTTTAAATAGTGAAACTGTGTTCATTGACTGTTGAATAGGTAAAAAATATTGTGTGTTTATATAAATAATGGGTTATTACTCAGCCTTAAAAACAAGGAAATCCTGCCATTTGTGCCATGTTGGAATTTGTGCCATGTTGGAATGATCTGGAGAATATTATGCCTATTTAAAAAAATTAATTTGTTTTAATTGGAGGATGATTACAGTGTTGGGATGGTTTTTGCCATACATCATCATGAATCAAAATTTCAAGAGAATTTCTTAAATTTTATTACCATTTAATCATTAACACTGTTCTGTACAGTAGTACCACCTTTGTAGTCATCAATGCATTATGATCCTGCATTTATTAAACCATACTGATCAAAATTTGAATTCCACTGAAGTCAAAGATATGAAGAATATACTAAAAACTTTTAAAAGACTACTCTGATGTTTGAGTAATGACTAATTTCATGAAAAAGGGAAGGCAGAAAACAAAGAATGATAAAACTCTGAATATCATATAAAATGTGTTCTCACTATCAACATTCATTTTTAATTAAGAATCAAGAGGACCTAATTCTGCATTTCATAGATTTGTCAATATTGAAAATGAGGAAAATATCTAGAATTGCTTTTGACTGAACTAAGATTTGTATAACTATGTATGTCTTTATTTCTTTAAATCAAATTTTATATATTATTAGAGAGGAAGGGAACTTCTCTTTTTACATTATGTCTAAAGAAGTTGGCTATATTTAGCTGAGATCATGGATGTATTAACTCCAATGTTCTTGTTCCCTTTCACTTTTCTATGAAGTTTTACAAAGTAAGAGTGTATGGGCAGAGATGAATAACATAGAAACCAAGGAAAAAACATTTCTAAGCAGGTAGAATTTGTCAAATTGAGAAATATTGCTGAAGACACTGGGATGTATAATCTTAAAATGAATTGCTTGAATCCAAAATATGGGTATAGTGCTCAGTGCCCATTTACTTATTTCCTTTGTTTCCAGCTCTCTTTTCTTTCTCCAGAGTGTCCAAGCTACATAGAACTGGAAATCTAACAAGTGTCTCAGAATTCTTCCTCCTGGGCCTCTCAGATGATCCAGAACTTCAGCCTTTGCTCTGTGTCCTGTTTCTGTCCATGTACCTGGTCACCATGCTGGGGAATCTACTCATCATTCTGGCCGTCACCTCTGACCCACACCTCCACACCCCCATGTACTTCTTCCTCACCAACCTGTCTTTGGCTGACATCAGTTTCATCTCCACCACTGTTCCCAAGATGATTGTGGACATCCAAACTCACAGCAGAGTCATCTCCTATGAAGGCTGCCTGACACAGATGTCTATTTTTATCCTTTTTGGGTGTATGGATAGTATGCTTCTGTCTGTGATGGCTTATGACAGGTTTGTGGCCATTTGTCACCCACTGCACTATACAATCATCATGAACCCACGCACCTGTTGCATCTTCATTTTGGTGTCTTTTTTTGTTAGCCTTTTGGACTCCCAGATGCATAACGTGACTGTGTTACAACTTACCTGCTTCAAGGATGTAGAAATTTCTAGTTTCTTCTGTGACCCTTCTCAGCTGCTCAACCTTGGCTGTTCTGATACTTTCATGAATAATATAGTCAGCTATATTATCGTTGCCATCTCTGGTTTTCTCCCTACCTCAGGAATCTTTTTCTCTTACTATAAAATTCTTGTCTCCCTTCTGAAAGTCCCCTCATCAAGTGGGACTTATAAAGCCTTTTCCACCTGTGGCTCTCACCTGACAGTGGTTTGCTTGTTTTGTGGAACAGCCCTGGGGGTATATCTCAGCTCAGCCATCTCCCTTTCTCCAAGGAAGGATGTAGAAGCCTCAGTGGTTTACACTGTGGTCACCCCCATGCTAAACCCCTTCATCTATAGTCTGAGGAACAAAGACATCAAAAAAGCCATGTGGAGGTTCCTCAGCAGAACAATCTCAGCTTAGGACCTGGCCACCCATTTGAGTGTAGGCTAGAAAATGTAGCAAAACAAAACCTGGAGATGTAAAATTCTACCCTTCTCATGTCATCAGTTTTGCAACTCTTATGACCTTCATGTCTTTCTTTGCTTTCCACCTGAATATTGTTTCTGTTTCTGGTTTAACATGACGGTGGGAGATGGAGGATCCTTTGTGTGTCATAATCACTTCTTACCTGAATTTATTTATATCTATGGAGATTCCATAATTTATCTTTGGTGGCACAAACATCCTCGAAGAATGAATACTTCCCTTTCAAAATACTGAAAATTTATAAGTTTTGCACAGCTGTTATATCATTTCCATAGTAAATTCTGTATCTATGTTTTAAATCTGCACATGCAGTTATGAGTGAGGAGGTATGTCACTGCTTCTCAACCGAGGCTTTTATTGAAAATATCTAGGAAGATTAAAGATACTGACCTTGTGTTGCACCACCAGACACTCTAACTGTACTTGGTTATGGCCTAAATATGAGGATTTTTTAAAGCACTCAGGTGGTTCTAGTGTGTGGCCAAGATTGAGACTACTGATATAAGTTAGAATTTTCCTCAAAAGTGACCTTTATACTTTGGGTCCTAACTGCTCATGGACAAATGCTGAAGATCCAGAAGAGATCAGAGGTCAAAGGGTGGAAGATATGAAGATTCTGCTGTAGTAACAAGCAATGCATTTCCCCCATTATTTCCAATAATCTTCACATAGTGTATCTACATATATGCATGGACCTTGCTCTGGGGTGGGATGCTCAGAATCACTGTCCTATGTTGCATCTTGGGTTGATCTTACATACTTTCAACATGATCTGTAAACATCTCTTTGCCCTAAATGTTCAGGTGATCCCTTTAAACCCCTCAAACCCTTGGTGGAGTAGCTTCTTCCTTCACTTATGATGGCTATGTTACTTCTTTTTCTTTCTTTCTTTCTTTTTCTACCTTTCAGCCCTTCAATAACTATTTAACTAGCTCTCTGTTTTAAAGCTTTTCATTAAAATGATTAACTGCATTATTCCTGGCTGACTGCCACTCAGCCATAAAAAGTAACAAAATAATGCCATTTGTAGCAACCTGAATGGACCTAGAGATTGTCATATTGCATGAGGTATGTCAGAGAAAAACAAATATCATATGATATCACTTATATGTGGGATCTATAAAAGGGTACAAATGAACTTATCTACAAAGCAGAAATAGTGTTACAGATGTAGAAAACAAATTTATGCTTATCAGTGAGTAAGGGGTAGTAAGGGATAAATTGGAAGGTTGGAACTGACATATAAACACAACTATATCCAAATAGATAACTGTTAATAACCTACTGCATAGCAAAATGAATTCTACTCAATACACTGTAGGGAATTATATAGAAAACATTCTGAAAAAGAATGGATATGTGTATAATTAATTCACTGCAGTGTACACCTGAAACTAACACAACGTTGTAAATCAACTCTACTCCAATAAAAAAGTTTTTGAAAAAACACTAATTGGTTTTTCTTTACTTGACTGACTCTTGACTGATACTATAGCACTGGGTATAAATGTTTGCTGTTATGTAACTTCCTGCAATTGGAAGATGCAAAATGTGCCCAGGAAAGACAGGTGGAAGTCGAGGGTATGTCTTAGCTTTGGGTACGCAGCTGGAGAATAGGTGGTAACATATTCCAATTGCTATGTGACTCCAATGATGCCTGAAGTACATTGAGTCACCCAAGTCTTCATAATAAGTTTACCTTCTTTCAAGGGAGGACTTTTCCTTTTACTAGAAACAGCCTGGTTAGGACTTCACTTGATCACCATGCCTTCCTGTTCTCTGTCTCAATAATTACATCTTAGGTCGCCTATTGAGTTCTGTAAGACAAATCAGTTCAGTTCAGTCACTCAATAGTGTCTGACTCTTTGTGACATGATGGGCTGCAGCACACTAGGCTTCCCTGTCCATCACCAACTCCTGGAGCTTGCTCAAACTCATGTCCATTGAATTGGTGATGCCATCCAACCCTTTCATCCTCTGTCATTCCCCATTCCTCCTGCCTTCAGTTTTTCCCAGCCTCAGGATTTTTACCAATGAGTCGGTTCTTCACATCAGGTGGTCAAAGTATTGGAGCTTCAGCTTCAGCACCAGTCCTTCCAATGAATATTCAGGACTGATTTCCTTTAGGATGGACTGGTTTGATCTCTTAGCATTCCAAAGGACTCTCAAGAGTTATCTTGAACACCATAATTTGAAAGCATCAATTCTTCAGTGCTCAGCTTTCTTTATGGTTCAACTCTCACATCTGTACATGACTATTGGAAAAAGCATAACTTTGACTATATGGACCTTCATTGGCAAAGTAATGTCTCTGCTTTTTAGTATGCTGTCTAGGTTTGTCACAGCTTTTCTTCCAAGGAACAAGTGTCTTTTAATTTCATGACTCCAGTCACCATCTGCAGTGATTCTGGAGCCCAGGAAAATAAGGTCTGCCACTGTTTCCTTGTTCCACCATCTATTTGCCATGAAGTGATGAGACCAGATGCCATGATCTTAATTTCCTGAATGTTGATCTTTAAGCCAGCTTTTTCACTCTCCTCTTTCATTTTCATCAAGAGGCTCTTTAGCTCCTCTTCCCTTTCTGCCAAAAGGATGGTGTCATCTGCATATCTGAGGTTATTGATATTTCTCCTGGCAATCTTGATTTCAGCTTGTGATTCATGCAGCCTGGCATTTTGCATAATGTACTCTGCATATAAGTTAAATAAACAAGGTAACAATATACAGCCTTTATGTCCTCCTTTCCCACTTGATTACCATGCCTCTGTCAGAATATTTACATTTTAGGGCTCCTATTGCATTCTGCAAGATAAGTATCCATCACAAATTGAGATGTCACATATTGTTTTTGTGGCAGTAATCTTGGCTGACTGAAATCTGTGCAGAACTAATTTAGTTACTTTCCATTTTACCGCTTAAGAAAATCACCAACCAACTCTACTGATGAGAGACTTTGATATTAAAAGAAAGAATATACTTGAAAAAAGATACAGTCTTACTAGTTTAGGGAAAGGGATATCACACCCAAAAAGTTACTAAAATCACTAAAATACTATATCTGCATATCCATTTAAGTTAACCTAAGTGACGTTTTTCCAGTGGTCATGTATGGATGTGAGAGTTGGACTGTGAAGAAAGCTGAGTGCCGAAAAATTGATGCTTTTGAACTGTGGTGTTGGAGAAGACTCTTGAGAGTCCCTTGGACTGCAAGGAGAGCCAACCAGTCCATCCTAAAGTAAATCAATCCTGAGTGTTCATTGGAAGGACTGATGCTGAAGCTGAAACTCCAATACTTTGGCCACCTCATGCAAAGAGTTGACTCACTGGAAAAGACCCTGATTCTGGGAGGGATCGGGGGCAGGAGGAGAAGCGGATGGCAGAGGATGAGATGGCTGGATGGCACCACCGACTCGATGGACATGAGTTTGAGTAAACTCTGGGAGTTGGTGATGGACAGAGGCCTGGCCTGCTGCGATTCATGGGGTCGCAAAGAGTCGGACACGACTGAGCGACTGAACTGAACTGAACTGAACTGAAGTGACAGTCAAAGAATCTTGAAAGAAGCCAAAGCAATGCTACTTTGTGTGTGTGTGTGTGTGTGTGTGTGTGTGTGTGTGTGTGAGAGTGTGTGTATATGGTTCTGTGGTTTAATTTTCTGTTTATGTTCTATTAAACTTCTATCACTTGGTTTCTTTTTAGATCATGTTAAATTCTCATAGCAAATGAATATAAGGCATTTTAAATCCATAAATATTACAAGAGAAATATACACTTGAATAGTAATCCTAGGTGTTCTACAGTATTCATGGAATGATTTTCTGCAATGTTCACAATTGATAATATGTCAGAAAATACATTCTGGTTGTATGAATTTAATATATTACATTCCACAGAGAAGAGAAATCCTATATTCCATGTGTTTCACTGTCTGACTTATTTCACTTAGCATAATGACCTAACAGAAACAGAAGAAATTAAGAAGAGGTGGCAAGAATACAAAGAATTGTGTAAAAAAAAGTTCTTAATGACCCGGATAGTCACGATGGTGTGGTCACTCACCTAGAGCCAGATATCCTGTAGTGTGAAGTCAAATGGGCCTTAGGAAGTAATATGATAAACAAAGTTAGTGGAACTGATGGAATTCCAGCTGAGTTATTTCAAATCCTAAAAGATGACACTGTTAAAATGCTACACTCTATGTGCCAACAAATTTGGAAAACTCAGCAATGGCCACAGGACTGGAAAATTTCAGTTTTCATTCCAATTGCAAAGAAGGGCAATGCCAAAGGATGTTCAAACCACTGCACAGTTGTGCTCATTTCACATGCTAGTAAGGTAATGCTCAAAATCCTTCAAGCTAGGCTTCAATAGTATGTGAACTGAGAACTTCCAGATGGACAAGCTGGATTTAGAAAAGGCAGAGGAACCAGAGATCAAGTAGTCAAAACCCATTATAGAAAAAGAAAAGGAATTCTAGAAAACTATCTACTTCTGCTTCATTGACTACACTA